GATAAAATTAGGAAGAGAAGCCAAGTGCTTGTTTGACGACATTCAAAATTGTTTTGCCCTAATTTGACAGGGACGGCTAGAGAAGGTGAGCATGCATAAGTGGTACGAAAGCCATAACGGAGGCATGGGTTTTTCTCATGAAAATGTGAAACTCAGAGATGAGTATTCCGAACTGACTGAAAAATACAGCATAGGAGGCTTGATGACAGGTTATAAGGTCAGAAAAGCTAAGTCAAGCCCAACCAAAGAAAAGATGGTTGAGACAAGGATTAGTGATCCTGCTATAATACAAAATACCTAATAGCTAACGGCCTTATGGTATCTATCCATCCATGCTAAAGCTTTTGAGACCTAGGGTTTGAATCAAGGTCTTAAAAAGCGTGAAACACAAATACACAATAGACACATTGATTCAGCAAAGAAAATAGACAAAGTGGTTTTCCATTAATCTTGGTAGCAAGTGTTAGCTGACGAGTATTTTGGATTTTAGCTGTGCAATGTGCAACACACATATGAATCCTAGTAGCTCAAAACTAAGGTACTAGTAGTGGTTTTCCATTAATCTTGGTAGCAAGTGTTAGCTGACGAGTATTTTGGATTTTAGCTGTGCAATGTGCAACGCACATATGAATCCTAGTAGCTCAAAACTAAGGTACTAGTAGTGGTTTTCCATTAATCTTGGTAGCAAGTGTTAGCTGACGAGTATTTTGGATTTTAGCTGTGCAATGTGCAACGCACATATGAATCCTAGTAGCTCAAAACTAAGGTACTAGTAGTGGTTTTCCATTAATCTTGGTAGCAAGTGTTAGCTGACGAGTATTTTGGATTTTAGCTATGCAATGTGCAACGCACATATGAATCCTAGTAGCTCAAAACTAAGGTACTAGTAGATTTTACTCTAAATAATTACTTTTGAGCTACATGTTAAAACTCTTCCCCTCACCTCTGCTTCCTTCCCTACCTCCGAAAGACATAGCTGCAAGAAAATCAGAAAATAGCAAAATACGACAAACCAAAGGATAACAACGACTAGTGCAAGACAGGGCCGGCTCTAATGCCTTGTCAAATAAGGCGTGTGCCTTAGGCCCCAAATATGGGAGCCCATTTATATAATAATTTAAATAAAATAAAATTTAGAGTTTTTAGTACAAACTTAGACTTTTTCATATAAAACAAAAGAAATTTTTGTAAATATGTAAATAAAGCAACTATTTGGCTTACTTAAAATGGGTAGTATGAAAATATTTTCTAACGTGCGAATTGAAATTGATTTGACAAGAAAAAATAATACAAATAGAAGATACTATAAACTCAATCAAATAAAACGGCTTGATTCTTTTCCAAATATTTATACTCGTATTACTTGTAGAATAATGTTATTAGTTCATATAACAGTTTCTTTTTTCAAAACTAAAATTGATAAATCTTAGCTGAGATAAATAATTTCTCAAGAAAGATTAAATGGGTTGGTTATAGTGGGCGTTTGGACATAAGAATTGTAAAATTCCAAAACATGGTGAAAATGGTATTTGAAATTTAGAGTTGTGTTTGGACATGAATATAATTTTGGGTTGTTTTTTAAGTTTTGTTAGTGATTTGAGTGAAAATGTTGAAAAATAGTTTTTTGGAGTTTTTTAAATTTTCGAAAATTTACAAAATGCATCTTCAAGTGAAAATTGAAATTTTTATGAACAAAAACGTTGATTTCGAAAAAAAGTGAATTTTTTTTGGAAAAAAGGAAAATTTTTTAATGTCCAAACGGGCTCATAATATCAATTGAAAAGGAATTATTGGAAGAAATCGATTATAAAAAAATTATTAACAACTTTGCATCTCAAAAAGCTAGAAGAATAGATTTCAAATAAAAATATATATTATAATCTTTTAAAAAAATTTTGGCCTCATATTAATCTTTGGCTTTAGGCCACATATGAGCTTGAGCCGCCCCTGGTACAAAAACAGTATTACTGCTAAAGGTGAGGGCCTGGTTTTAGGTATTTCCTACAGTTAGTGTACTACTAGAACCACAGATATAGAATGAACTAACTCACTGATCAGTTTTCACTGCAATATATACCTCAAGCATATCAGTCATCCCCTTGAGTTTTAACAAAAATTGCAGGGATTTACATCTCACTGATACGTTTCCACAAATACCTGGAGTCCTATCATGAGACAAAAGTTTAATTACGGAGTAGTACTAAATTCCAACCTAGATCAATGTTCACATCACAAATAAGTTGGGGAAAATGGGCTGAACAATCCTACTTGCAATTCCAGTAGTCATAAAACCCAATTTTTTACACTAAAGTTCCCAATTAAATTCCCAATAATCGAAGAATGAACTCATTTCATAGAATATTTTCATAAAGCAATTGATTAAAGAAAGTACCTTTGGGTAATCGGATTTCCAACTTGGGTTTACATAAAGCAGAGAAGGACGGCAAGTGAGAGATGGAATTGGATGAGAAAAGTGCAGTTGCTGTTACACCCATATTTTCCTTTTTCTTGGAAAATTAATTTTCGATTCTTAAGAAATTATGAGTAGATATATAGTAGATTCCTTATTTTTATTTGATACATACATTCACCACCACAAAAAAGAGTACAACGCGTATGTGGGCTGACCACATTTTTGTCACGTGCCCCCTCTAAATGCAACTTGCAAGTACGAGCAATCCGAATGTGGTTTTGGATGAGAAAATGATTGGAATTTTTGGCTTGTTTATTCTTTTTGGGGTTGTTTATGTTTATTTGGAAAAAATAATAAATATCTAAATATTATGGTTTTATTCGTGAATCTTCAACTTTAATAAATTCTTTTTTTGTAAATGAAGTTTAAGTCTACACACGACTTTTGACTTTTAATTTTTTTTTTTAACTTTCACCAAATAATATTGTCCAAATGCCTATTTATTTTTGTAAGTGAAATTGAATATTGATTCTCTAATCCTTACATATTATAGAGACTTTCGGTCAAGTGGTATTTATGGGAGCCTCCTCCACAATAAGTATGATTCGATTCTTATGATTTTTCTTTTAAAATAAATCTTTTTGATATTACATATTTAGAAACTAGAACTTCACAAATTATTTTATAATTAATACTATAATTTATAGTTAAAATATTGTAGAATAATATAAAAAATAATCAAAAGATAAATTATCGACTCCTCAAATAATAATTAATTGTGCCTACATAATTATTTGCAGTTCAGCGGTAAATCTCCTCCTTTTTTCTTCTTCCAAATCCATTAGCTTGCTTCTATGGACAATGGGTTTGTTTCTTCCCCCTTATACATGGGTTAAATATGATGATCAACCTTTGAAGATTAATAGCGAAAGGAAAATTATATTGTATGTATTCATTCATTATCCCAAGCATTGTTGAGGTAAATACTCTTTTTCTTTTTTGTCGTAATATTTTTTTGAATTTGAGTTTTGTCGCAGGGTCTGGGGTGTGATTTTCTTAAATGGTTGAATCAACATGATTAATTGCTCTTGAAAAATTTAGTTTGAAGGACCAAGAAAGGGAAGAAAAAGGTAGAGTCAATTTGTTAGTTAAGATTTATATGCCTAAGAAATTGAATTGTATTGCACATCCTCTTTAGTATGAAATAATTGTCGTCGGTTACTTTTTACTTTTGTAAGTAGCACAAATTGTTTTTTTCGTTTGTAAATATGTATGTTAGGAGAAGCTTTTGTTAGACTATTTTATTGCTTTTCGTATTTAAATAGTTGTACTTGAACCGTTACAAAATGATGTACACCAAGAAAAATGAAAAGTCTTATTACTTTCTCAATCAATTACATTGAATGTTTATGTTATGATTTTGATGATTATAATATATGGATGTCATGTTGTTCTTGCTATTGTACTTCTAGCTAAGTTTATTATTGTTGTGATAAAGTAGTTATACCTTATGATAAAGTTATTGAACAATGTGGTTTACTACTCTGTCGCAATTCAGCCTTCTCATTTTATTTTGGGAATAATGTTAAGGTAAAAGCTGAAATTTTATTGTACCTGGTTGAATATAAGTGAAAGAAAAAGTAACGCTTTGAAAATCATAGGTCTTTCTTCCATGAAACGTGGGTCACATAAATAATCAATATTTTATTAATAATTTGAATTATATAGAAAATAAATTTTATTTTTCAAAAATGAACATATTTTATTTAATTTTTTACAAGGATAATTTTACTTTTCGAAATCGCATTAAGCAGGTGGACCTTTTTAAATAAATATCTAGAGAGTTGAGGGAAGATGACCATATATTTTTGAACAATCCAAAATACAAAAATAGAATTGAAAAGTGAAGTATTTTTATTTTACTTTATGATTTCTCTATTTGATAAGAGCTGAATATGTTAATACGGTGCATTTATTTAGTGATAAATAATAACTCTTTGGTACCGACTTGTCTCCTTTTTCTTTGTCATTTTTTTGTGGATTTTGATTTCGATATATTAATCGATATTTTAGAATTGAAAACATTTTCAAGCTATACAATCATATCATTTGTACATTTTGTGATTTCGATATATTTATCGATATAATACCATTGCTTTTGCATATGATTATTAAATGAACTTAAGCCCCTTGAATATTCTCGTGCGATTAGGTTCAAAAATTTTACTAACAATCTCATAGTCATAACTAAAATATAAAACTTTGGTGAGTAGTTAGATGAATTACAATAAAATCTAATCTTTTTAGATTTCGATACAAAAATCTTTAACATATCTTCAATATTTTAATATTAAAAAAAGATTAGTTTATAAATTTGATGAGGTCCTTCTATCACGCGACCGCAGACAAATTCACCAGTTTAAAATAAATTAAAGAAAAGGCATGAAATAGAATAGTCGCATATTCAAAATAAATTAAAGAAGGTATTTTTACTTTATTAATCATACTTGATAGGGCAGGTAAAATAAATGGTATTCAACAATCTACATCATACCCTAATATTATTCCATTCTTAATTACTTTCACCCTATAGATTATTGGGAAAGTTGACATTTGATTTGTAAATTGATCTTGGTTGCCAACCGTCTGGAATGACATTTGGAGCGGTGACACTCTGCTTTGTTTCTGAAGTAAGTCTAAGGGAAAAGGGAGGTTTCTGTGTATCTGGTTGTATGCCAACACTCCAAGTTGCCCCAATCATTCGCTGCATTGGTATCCAACTCGAATTGCTTGTTTGGATTTCAACTAAAGAAAGGTCACCATCTCCATCTACTGCTTCAGATGTAACTGCGAAGAAATTAGGATTGGAGCCTTTGTCCACCTTAAATAAGATATTTGTGTTGTAATTACATGCTACCCTGTAAGGTTCAGTAAAAATAAAAGAAATTAATGCATTACTGGTGTTCATCAGAAGGAAAATAAGAAGAAAAAATTAATTTATTGCTTCCTATATAAAAACTTCCTATAAGATGGAACAAAGAAGTAAATTTTAGTTTTTGTAAAACAACTCACCTTTGGTAAAAAATCGAGATTCTTCCTGCATTATATAGTTGTGAAGCCTCACCAGCCTTTGCCAATTTTCCAAAGGCAATTCCACTTATATCGAAGTGAACAGGATCATTATTGCATGCTCCAGGGCACTCATCTGTAAGGGTTACTATTATTGGATTCCCTGAACAATGCGGATTTTGATCTTGAGTGCACAACACCTGAAAAATAATACCAATAATATAGAGATGTCATGCATTTATGCATAAAAATAAAATATTCATACACATTCTCGCTTTTGTCTAGAGTTTAATTTCCTTGTCATCTCATGCAAAATAAGGTACATTTATTCTACAAATTATAGATTCATAAGATCAATAGCGGAATCAGAAATTCTGTCAAGACAATTCAAAAAGATCTAAAATGTTACATTTGGAATTTGCACCTATATTTTCTCTAATGAGGAGATTTAAAACTTTGTATATTTTAAATGTATTTTTATCCAATTTATGTTATACACACACACCTGGTAACATGCTCCACATTCAGAGCTTTGCTTAAAAAGAGCTTGATTTCCTGCAGTGATCATTGCATTATAGGGAGCGCTTTCTACGTCATTTTCGAGCCCACATGCTCCACCTAGAACAGAAAAGTAAGAACAATATATGGTTTTTATCATTAGGCCTAGAATCACTAATAAAGTATGTAAAAATCAAGACTATATTGATCAAGCCATTTCGGTGAATATTTGTCTACAAAATTCTATTCGTATATTTTCCTTTTATTATGTAGGGGGATGGAAGAGGAAATTGATAAGGGGATTAAAAGATGCAAATCAAACCTCACCAATAAGGTAAAATTCAGATAGCCAATAATTAAAATAACTATGATTTACCTTCAAAATTATATTTGAAATTTAAAGCAAGTTTAGTTTAATTTTAATCAAGTAAGCCAAATAAGTCTTATGAAAAAAGAGAGTAGAAATAAACGACATTTCAAGATATTACCACTCCCGGGACTAGTAGGATTTTCATAAAAAGTTGCAACAGCTTGTGAATAACCGCTTGGTTGGCAAGAGGAAAATCTGACCAAATACGAGCAAAAAGCTACAAAAATCAAAAGGAAAAGACACTGAGGAAAATTTGCAGCCATGACCTAATAATTATCTGTGATTAGTGATGATATAATTATTTTTGCTAATTGCTTATGTAGTGCCATGTTAATTGGTACTATTTATAGTAAAAAAGAGAGTATTAGTTAGTTGAGAATATTAATTATGAATAATAAACCATTTTGCCAAAGTTGAGGATAGGAATTATGAATAATTAACCATTTTGCCAATTTAAGGTAAGAACTTTATTGCCTCACTATTTAGTTTGCAGATTTATAATGCAGGATTATAAAGCATATAGCGATTGAAAGTTTACTGCATCTCATGATCATGATTCTCATCATCTCTTTAATTCTTTTATTTCTTTTTGTCATATGCCAACTAAACACTATATGATTTAAGATCTCTACACCACAAAGCAAGAGGCATGTAGTAAACATATCGAAATGCATAACAACTAACCATAAGTTGAGAAGAGCAGAAGAAAAAAGATATTGATTAATAAATACTTGAATTAATTTTTTCAAATGATTAAACGTTTTTCATAAGAAATTTTTGCAGTGCTAAACCTCCTCCTTTTCTTTTATAACGAGCATTGCTACCCTTATATAACAAATGTGTTTATAAGTTATTGAGCATGTAACTTGAGAGGGTTCCTGCAAGAAAATGATACACTCCAAATTAGTACAGAACACCTACAATATGAAACATTTGTTCAATGCAATTTTGGAAAATCATACACACGTCCATAAATTATTTGAAGCTCAAACTGATCTGATCTCAATTGTAACTTTAAAATCATGTATACGCTTGCTTCCACATATACATGACTATCCAGTAAGATATTAGAATTTTTCTCGCAATTTTCTAACTAATTGATATGTTAAATTTAGTCAAAATGAGCATTTAGAGGGTAACACATCTCCGCTTGTCCTTAGCTTAGACTACATCACAAACCTGTCAACAAGTGTCAATCTAAATAATTAGGCACCGTTAGTTGGTGTATAAAAAGAATTAATTTCAATACAATATCTGGCATAAGATAATATAGTGTTTGCTTACTGTATACGAATAATTAATTACAACATAAAATTCCTCATATAGTGTTTGGTTAATAATACTAGATAATATCCATATTAAATTATGCGAAAATCTAGAATGTGGAATAAGAATACGTGTATTAGTAATCCAGAAATTTAACCATTGGAAGACAACGGTACGGTCCTTCCCCGGATTCTGCGTGAATGCGAGATGCTATATGCACTGACTGTCAAATGTACAATAAATTAAAATAAGGGGTCAAGTGTACAAAAAAAAAATAATATATTGATTCATTGGCATTTAACGAATGTTTGATTCGTGAAATTGCTTCAAATACAACCATTATTCAACTCTTTTTCTTCAAATCCTTTTTATTTGGAATCGTAAGAAAGCATCGACATGCTTATAATTCCTAAGATATTTTTTTTCAATTTTTCCCAGGAAGAGAAGCTAGCTTTCACTGTATTCAGTAAAGAATTCGTCATTTATAGTTTGCTTATTGGTCTTTGACTTAGTTTCTCTCTCTCTCATTCGCCAAACATATATACGAAGAAACGTTTCTTTTATTTTCATGTGGAACATAATATTTTAGTATATATCTAAAATAGTTCTTATATAGAACCATTTCTTCATATCAAGTATCATATTTCAAACCCCTAATTTTCCGATGTTTTTTCCTTTAAACTTTCTAACGGAATCAAAGTCGATGGAAGTATGGAAAGCAAAAATAATGACTCGTGAAACGTTGGTTGGGAATATAGTATCTGTCACGACCCAAAATTCTCTAAGAATCGTGATGGCGTCGGACACCGTTGTCAGACAAGCCAATTATATATACTTAATTAAATTCTCATTTAAATAATTGTGAAAACTATGACCTTCCTTCAATTTGGCTAGTAAAAGGTAATCTTTACAAAATAAATAAATGTTTAGAAGTTAATATAGAATACCCCATAATCATCCCAGAACCCGGTGTCACAAGTGCATGAGCATTTACTAGGGAATGAAATAAAATACAGTAACTATCCGGAATACAAAGTGGACAGGAATGGAAATACAGTACAATACTCTGAAGGAGACTCTGCTGGTTGCAGGTCGCCTAGATAAATGCAGCTCACCTAAGTCTCCGTATCAACCGTGCCGCTATACTGCTAAGACACTAGCCACACATGAACTTGTGCAACAAAAATGTACAGCAAGTGTAGTATGAGTACGAAAACAACGTGTATCCAGTAAGTATCCCGTCTAATCTCGAAGAAGTAGAGACGAGAGGTCGACTTCGACACCTACTAGTAGTCCGATAATAGTCACTACTAGAAATCAGGTGATTTCCGTCCAAGGTATTCCAACCAAAATCAGTCGGATATAAGAGTATTTGGTCGCAAAAGTCAACAAAAATTGCCTGACAGCAAAAAAATAAAATTTTCGACCGATTTCGGTCGAAAATTGGTCAAATATTTGGTCATACTTGTATATTATGTAAAAAAATAATTATTTATTAAAAGTTTATCAAATGTCACGACACGGATTTCCCATCCTCGAGAGTCGTGATGGCGCCTACTCGTGAAAGTTAGGCAAGCCGTGTAATAGAGAATCACTAACCCTTTTATTTATCCCTTTTAATAATTTAAACTAACATGTGATTAACAGTGAAATATTAACGATAAATAGATACAAGCGGAAGACTTAATCTGGTAAATTAACCATAAACATTACAACAATGTCAACATACATCTTTACCCAGAATTTGGTGTCACAATATCACGGACTGTCTATGAATAAAAGAAAGTAAAATCTGTCTCGGCAGCAAATAAAAACAGAATACACATAGAGATAGAAGAGAACGCCGGGCCTGCGGACGCCTGTAGGACTACCTCGGGATCTCTAGCTGGACTGAAAGCAACCACCTAATGCTACGGTCCAAAAGCTGCCGCTCCGGGATCTACACATAGTACAGAATGTAGTATCAGCACAACCGACCCCATGTGCTAGTAAGTGCCTGGCCTAACCCCCGCGAATTAGTGACGAGGCTAGGACCAGACTACCAAATAAACCTGTGCAGTTATATAATATGCAACGGAAAAAATAAAATAGGAATAACAAGTAAAGATGGGAGGGGGTACATGCTGTGGGGGAATATCAGTACCAACAGTAAATTACGAGAAAAGCATAAGAACAATTTAGAATTTACAGCAAAACAATAAGGAACTTGTAACCAATCTATAAACACCTTGTATTATCAATTGTTGCGGCGCGCAACCCGATCCCAAAATATAATAACCCTGTTGCGGCGTGCAACCCGATCCATATCATTTATCACTGTTGCAGCGTGCAACCCGATCCCATTATATTATTGTTGCGACGTGCAACCCGATCCAAATATAATATTGTTGCGGTGTGCAACCCGATCCAAATATAATATTGTTACAGCGCGCAACCCGATCCACATATACAGTTCAACACTAATCACAACAAGAGTCCCGGCAAGGGATCAATAAAGAAACAACACTATCCCGGCAAGGGAAAATCAGCTATAACCAAACTTGTTCGAACGTCTAACTACCTCAACTAGCACTAATACTCAACCATAAGTAATTTCCACGAGGATAATCATAATCCTTATTCAACTCAGAGAATCAATAACTTAGGCATTCGTAGGAATTATCAAGAACACAACAATTTCAATTTAAGACTCACGGTCATGCTTGAGACCAACGTATAGATACTCGTCACCATGCTTATACGTCGTACTCAACAAATAACATGTAGCAAATATGACTCAACTCCTAATCCCTCAAGCTAAGGTTAGACCAAACACTTACCTCAATGCCACGAATACGATTCAAGCCTCTACTATCGCTTTACCTCGTGATTCCACCACCAGTTCACTCGTATCTAGCCACAAGTTACTTAATTACATCAATAAATGCTAAATAAATCAATTCTAATGCATGAAAATGAGTTTTTCTAAAGTTTTACCCAAAAAGTCAAAAATCGCCCCCGGCCCACATGGTCAAAACCCGAGGTTTGAACCAAAACCCGATTACCCACTCCCCCACGAACCCAAATATATAATTTGTTTTGAAATCGGACCTCGAATCGAGGTTCAAATCCCTAATTTTTGAAAAATCTAGGTTCTACCCAAAACACCCAATTTTCCCCATGAAAATCATTGATTTTGAGTTGAAATCATGTGAAAAGATGTTGAAGATTGAAGAACATTAGTTAGAAATCACTTACAATCGATTTGGAAAAGAAGTTGTCTTTGAAAAATCGCCCTAGAGAGTTTATGTTTTGAGAAGATGTAAAAAATGGTTGAAAATGCGTCTAAGTTATGAACTTATAGATTGTAGGTATCGCAATTGCAATTAGGGTTCGCAATTGCGAACCCAGTCTCTGCTAAGCTCGCATTTGTGAAGGGACTTTCGCATTTGCGAAGTCGCTTTTGCGATAAATTTGTCGCATTTGCAACGACTGGGGGAGTTCAGGGCATCTTCGCATTTGCGAAGGGACTTTCGCATTTGCGGAATCGCTTTTGCGATAAAGTCGTCGCATTTGCGACCCAAGGCATCCTAGGCCACTTCACGCATTTGCGACTCATTGTTCGCATTTTCGAGCTAGGCTTCGCAAGGCCTGAAGCATACCGGATAAAATCTGCAACATCCTAAGTCCAAATTCCAATCCGTGGCCTATCCAAAAATCACACGAGCCCTCGGGGCTCCAAACCAAACATGCACACCAACCTAAAATTATCATACGGACTCGCTCGTGCATTAAAATCATCAAAATAACATCAACAACTATGAATTTAGCATCAAAATCATGAAATTTCTTAAGAACTTCAAATTTTCTAATTTTTCTCAAAAACGATCCGATTCACGTCGTTTCAAGTCCGTTTCTTACCAAATTTCACAGACTTATCTTAAATCACATGTAAGACCTGTACCATGCGCCAGAACCAAAATACGGGCCCAATATCATCAAGTTTTCAACACATTTT